AATTATGGTATTGGAGGAGACTGTTAAAAGTACCATGGATGCTAGAAAAACAAACAAATCTGTGTTGAAACAAGTACAGCCAGAATGCTTCTTAGAAGTCAGGATGGTGAGTCTTTATCTGTAATACTTTGGATATGTTCTCAGGAAGGGACCATTTCCCGGAGAAGGACATCATGCTTGGTAAAGTGCAAGGTTAGCAAAAAATGAGGAAGACTCTCAGTGAGATGGATTGACGTAGTGGCAGCAGCAGTGGTCTCCGACATAACAACAATTGTGAGGATGGTGCGGGATCGGGCAGTGTTTCATTCAGTTGTTCATAGTGTTGCTATGAGTTGGAACTGACTCACGTGCCGCTAACAAGCCACTCAACAAGTCAGGTGATTTGGAGCCTCTTTGGGCCTCAGATAATCCACTTATGAAATATGTTTCGTGTAGCTGTCATGAAAGATAGATTAGCATGATTAATGTTAAAGATTAAATGGTTGTCCTAGCGTGGCACCATAGGATAAACACTGGACTGCTAACCGCAAAGTCGGCTATTCAAACCCACCAATCACTCTTTGGACTGTTACACGTTCTCTATGAATTAGAACTAACTCAGTGATACTTAACGACAACCACATTGGTATCCTTATTATCATTTTTAATGTCATCATTGTCACTCCAGTCATGTAGTTGTTCTAGATTATTACAGTTGTTACGGAGCACTTTCACATAGGTTCTTACTGAAGGAAAAGATTTCATCTCCACTCACTCCCAGATGCTCTTGTAAGTTCCTCTGCCCTGGAAAGGCCACATTGTCATCACAGTGATGGATCTGCCCATCCCATTGGACTGTGAGCTCTTTGAATAGAGGAACCACCTCTGTGCCTGCCTGGGAGAGGCAGACTGGGAGTCCATTTCAGCCGGTTCATGGCCGGGGCCACCTGGCAGGCATGCTGTTGGGAAGTGGCTGAACTGGCTGGTGGACTGGCTGAGAAGACTGGCCTCTGAGCCCTGCTGTAGATTCTGTTCATGTTTTGACTGGATGAAGATGCTCTGATGTCCTCTTAGGCTCGCTCAGAGTATTGGTCTCCGTGGAGCATGTGGACCCCGCACAGAAGGAGCCCACCGTGGACAGTCTGACTCTCTGCTTCTACTGTGCTTCCAAGTTTACAGGGCTCACCTCAGCCCTGGGAGATGAAACCTTTAAAATATATATGTGTATTTTTTTTTTTAATTTTATAGATGATTTTTCCTATGGAAGAAAATTTAAAAACACAAGCACCACATTTGTCCTAAGTAATTTGACAGCTTATGCTAACTAACCTTTTGAATTTATATTTTTGTCTTTCGTTGAATAAAAGTTTCAGTGCCTCTAGCTCAAGAGTTCTACAAGTTCACGTTATGTAAATATATGTGATAAAATATTTACTTAGGGTTTCCATACGAAAGGGTCAAAGCAGAGAATAAGAGAGCTTCTCTTTGCTAGTTATAGAGGCTCTGCTGGGAATTCTGAGGGAAACTTAAGCTTCTCGAATGTGTTTTGATTGGCCGCTTCCGTGTTTTATCTCCCGTAATGAGTTCTTTGTCAGTTTGTCAATTTTGACCAAGGACAGAAAGTTCATGTGTAGTAACACCACACCGACAGAATTTAAAATTATGGCTTAGATCATGATGTCATAATCCGCTCTCTTTTCCTTTAGTCAATATTTACCTGTGAGGCTAATATATTATAATTCTGACTTCAAAAGAAAGCACTTTCTTTTACCTTCTTCAAGTGTTAGTTTTAGATACTTGTAATATCAAAACTGGAAGTTGAGCCGTCTGAGACTTTTGGCCGCCATCCCTTGGGGTTGAGTTCCTCGATCATTGCAGGGCAGGTTTCACCGCTCGGAGCCACACGGGTTTCTCAGCTTTCCAGACCACCCTTTCCTCTGCGGGAAGCAGGTCTATCAGTTAGTCCACCACAGCCAGGCTCTCCTAGGTGGACCTGGGTTTTCCCTCATGGAGGAATGTTACAGGCTTGGGCAAGAGAGCTCCAAGGTCTGATTGCTTAGAAGGAGGGTGGTCTCTGGGTGTGGTTCTGAGGGGGAATTGGAAACTCCTTGCCTGAACCCCTTACTGGAATTGCCCGGTGTTTAATCACTTTGTTTTTTAAAACGAGGGAAGAAGAAGGACTAGGAGGATACAGAACAGCTGCTGTCTTTGCAGAAACAGTATGTATGTAGCCCCTTAGAAGATGACCGGAGGAACCAGCGGTGTAATGTTAATGAGCGCTTCGGAGCCAACATGTTGACCTGGCTGGACTCTTCTGTGAGTCATAACCAGAAAGGAACCAATTGTCTTGTGAACTGCTAAGTTCAAAATCGATTACTTACAGGTTCAGCTGGGTCTCAGAGTTCACATGAGGTCATCGTGACTCTGTTTTATTTCTTAGACCTATTGTTGTTGGTTTTTTCTGGCTTGTCACAATTATGTGTCAAAGATGTGGGCTCCTATGGTCTTTTGTGTCTAGGATCCCAGGAGAAAGACTCTCTTTCCTAAGTTAGATATCCATCCCTGAAAACAGACTCAGAAGAAATCTACGTGGGTCACATGCCTACATTTGGACCAATCACTGTAAACAGAGATGGCATCCAGTGAAACTGCATCAAGTACATTTTACATTTAAAGCAAACTCAGCTCTTTGTTCATATCTTTAGTGTGCTTCCGCAGACTGTATACTTACATGCATATTTTTTTCTATATCCTGTCCATTTTGCACAAATGCATACACTCGTGCGTGTGTGTACACTACTGTATTTTAGAAATTATTTATGGATACTTAGGTTTAACTTTAAGCTTATAACCCAATGACTCTACCAAAGTCTGTGTGGTCAGCCTGGGTCATGTGACCACTTCTGCAAGGTAAGGTAAGGCCTATTGAACACTCCACCAGGAAGGGACGAGCTCTCCAAAAGGGGGGGAAATGGTCAGTCTCTTATCAAAAAGAAAAAGGTAACAGGCGGCAAACCATTTGATTAATTCTCTCTATCAGTATTCATTGATACCTGTGGAGTCCTGGTGTGGTACTATAGGATAAATGGTGGCAGTGGGCCGGGGAGTCGGTTCCCACTCACAGCGACCCTATAGAGGATTTCTGAGGCTGTAAATCTTTGCAGGAGCAGAAAGCCTCATCTTTTTGCCGTGGAGCAGCTGGAAGATTAGAACTGCTGACCTTGTGGTTAACAGCCTAGCTTTTAACCCACTACACTCCCAGGCCTCCATAGGTACAGTTGGTTGTATGCCGTGGAGTGGGTGATGACTCACAGTGGCCTTGTATAGGGTTTCTGAGGCTGTAAATCTTTTAAGGGAACAGAAAGCTTCATCCTTCTCCTGGTAGTTTCAAACTGCTGAGCTTGAGATTAGCAACCCAACTCATAACTACTACATTATCAGAGCTCTTTGTAGGCTAAATACTAGACTGCTAACTGCGAGGTCGGTGGTTCAAACCCACCAGCCACGCTTCCTAAACCCTATCCAGGGTCACTGTGAGTTGAAACCAACTTGACAGTCTTAATAACAACACAAATCTGTATGACAGGCACTCTCCTAGGCCCTGGGCACACAGCAGGGGACCTTACACAATAGAGCTACTGTGCCAGCTAACATTGTAGGGAGGGAGGCCGCCGGTGAAAACAGCCTCAAGGATCTAGTGATGAGCGTGCTGACGGGGTGCCCACGGCCCACACCACCAGACACAGATGAAGGCCTCTCAGTGTGTAGGATGGCGAATCTCTTCCTGCTTTGGGATTCTCTTTCCTGGGATTCTCATTCTAAGGGAAGGGAGGTTTTGCTAGGCAGATCCTGATGAGGAGGTTATTCCAAGCATGGGGAAAAGTATAAACTTAGCCTGGTGTGGTACCATAGAAGAAGCGCTGCACCACAAAGTCAGTTTGAACCCCAAGGTCGGCAGTTTATACTCACTAACTGCTCCTCGGAAACCGTATACAGAGTCGGAACCAAATCGACGGCACTTAACAACAAGTAAACCTCTGAAAAGGAGCCCTGGTGGCGCAGTGCCTAAGGCTTAAGCTGCTAACCCAAAGATCTGTGGTTCGAACCCACCATGGAAGAAAGTGGCAGTTCTAGTCTGTCCTTTAGGGTTGCTGTGATTCAGAACAGACTCAATGACAATGGATGATGTTGCTGCTGTGTGTGTGTGTGTGTGTGTGTGTGTGTGTGTGTGTGTGCCCACAAGTGTCTGAATGGGGTGAGGTAAGATATGTTCAGGGAACGGGAAGAGGTTTCCCACGACAGCTGCTTAAAGAGCATGTTGAGGATGGCCCCCAGACTAACAAGGTGGAATGGAGTAAGGTACTGAAGGCCCTGAATACCAGGCTCAGGGGTGATGTCATCATGTCACGGTGTAGAAAGCTCACCAGCAACCTTGTGGGAGTTAGAGAAGAGGAGCAGGGAGGCCAGGTGCAGGGCTGACCGAGGGCTGTGGCAGGTAGGACTGTGGGATTTGGAGATTAGCTTACTCTAATGACCTGAAGGGGCTCTGGTGGTTTGTAGTGGTTACAAATCAGGCTGCTAACCTCAAGGTCGGCAGTTCGAAACTACCAGTAGTTCCACAGGAGAAAGATGAGGCATTCTGCTCCTGTAAAGATTTACAGCCTTGGAACTCCTATACAGGGTCACTATGACTTGGAACCGACTCCACAGTACTTAACAACAACAATGACCTGAAAGGATTTGTTCTTCATCCATAATTAGTCAGACCTTTTTGCAAGTCTATTGGTATTTGCTCAAAGAGAAGAATCTTTATAAATGGGAAGCACCTTGTGAAAACAGTTCATCTTGTTTATTGGGTATAAAACACCCATCACCATTTGTGTACAGTGAGGGAAGGAACAGCAGATAGAAAATACAGGCCCAGCACTGTTCTGAGCGACATGTGTCCTTGGAAAGGAGCCTACAGAGACCTTGGCCTTGTTCGTCTGCACAGACTGAGGGTCCTTCTTGTGCATTCACAGGCAACTTTGAAGTGGGCGTACACATCACTGATGTGAGTTACTTCATCCCCGAGGGTTCGGATCTGGACCAAGTGGCTGCAGAGAGAGCCACCAGCGTCTACCTGGTGCAGAAGGTAAATATCCGCCTTTAGTTTCTCAGATTGAAAATTGTGTTTCCCTTTACATTGTCTTCCATTTCTGTTGTTGTTTTATTTCCATTTGTATAAAGAGGAGTCCGTGTATATACTAAAAGCTCAAATGCAGACAAAGCTAACTTATGCTCGTGGAAGTCTGGAGAGTGGTTACCCTTTTGGGGAGGGGATCGAATGTCACTCTTGATCTGGGTGCTCCTGAGTAAATGACACATCGAGCTGTTCATTCATGGCATGTGCAGTGGCACTTTACTCCCTGCTTCTTAGTGAAGCAGCCTGGGAGCAGACACTTGTAGTGGCATGACCTCCAAACGTACAAACGGACAGGGAGGAGTAGAACAGTACACAGCCTAGGTTCCCCAAGTTAGGCTCCCGTCCACAGGATTAGGCCACATCCAAGGACACCCCAATTCATGGCCTGGGAGGAGAACAGCTAATACCTCTCTCGTAGGATTCACTGTTAATCAGACAGCCATGTCGACATGCCAAATAACATATACCAAGAATGGGTAAGGGAGACACCCCAAAACCAAACCCACTCCCGCAGAGTCTGTGCTGACTCAGTGGCCTTGAAGGACAGACCTTTGAGCAAACACCTGCTTCATAGCTTTTCCAATGCTGTCATCTTTACGGAAGCAAATTGCCCCATCTTTCTCCCACAGAGCGGCTGGTGGGTACAAACCGCCGACCTTTCAGTTAGCACTTGAGCACTTAACAACAGTGCCTCACAGACTCCTTGAAAGGTAAATGGGAGGAATGAAAATGGAAAGCCCCCGAAAGGCATTGGGTATCATTTCTTGCCCCTGTTCAGAGTGGGCTCTATTTACTGTGCCACAGAACAGCCTCCTTTTCCCACTGGCCTTCTTCAGAGGACTGTCACCTCTTCGTAAAGCTCATACTTGACTTGCTGTCCAGTCGTAGCTTTGATGTCCTTTCGCAACTTCTTGTTAAGTACCATCAGTTGGTTCCGACTCATAGCAACTTTATATAGGGTTTCCAAGGAGTGGTGGGGGTTGAACCACCAACCTTGTGGTGAGCAGTCCAGTGCTGATCCTATGCCACAACAGCTTAGGGAGACAGTGAGGGGGGACTGTCGTACAGCGTATCTCTGCACCCAGCAGTGTGGATGGCATCCTTAAAAACAGCTAAGTAAAAAATGTTGACACTTTTTTGAGGGATTTTCACTCCACTTTGGCTCCTGGTAGTTAACAGACCCAGACTCCCTGAGCAGAGGGGCCACTTGAGAATCTGGACACCTCATTCATAGTGTGACCCTCCTGAGAGCCCAGTTCCTATATTTGTACATGAACTCGACTTATGTGACCTAAGGTTGGAGGCATCCCAATTTCACTTCCTGCCCGAAAGTACTGTTGGCCAAACCCAGCCTCGGCCTGGCCCAGGGCCTCTGAGAAAAGGGCAATGAGGCCCTGACGTCTCTGTGAGGTCTCCTCTATCTAGGAAAACAGTGAGGTCATAACGGAAAGAGAAGTCAAACCGCAGTCTCCTAAACTTTAGCCGTTAAGGACCATGTCAAGTGGGTAAATGTGAACTGTTCTTCCACCTCGGAAAGCTGCCTGGGTGCTTCAGAGGTGAACGTTGAAGAGTTCTACCACAAGGAGCTCTGGTAGCGTAGTGGTTACGAATCGGGCTGCAAGCCGCAAGTTCAGCAGTTCGAAACTACCAGCTGTTCTGTGGGAGAAAGATGAGGCTTTCTGCTCCTATAAAGATTTACAGCCTTGGAAACCCTGTACAGGATCGCCATGAGTCGGAAACGACTCCATGGCACATAACAACAAGAACAACCCGCAATGAAGAAGGTGCCCTGGTAGCACTGTGGTTAAGCACTGGGCTGCTCACCAAATCGGTGGTTCGAACCCACCAACCATTCAGTAAGGGAAAAGTGTGGTACTGTACTTGCATAATGATTTTCAGCCATGGAAGCTCTATGGGGCACGTCTCTGTCCTGTAGGACCCTATAGGGGCACTATGAGGTAGAATTGACTCAGTGGTAGTGGGTTTGGTGTTTTTCATTTTTAGTTACCATTAAAAAGAGTCCTGTTGTTAAGCTGCTAACCAAAATGTTGGTGGTTCAAACCCACCAGACTCTCCACAGGAGAAAGACAAGGCTGTCTGTTGCCATAAAGATTTACAGCCTCAGACATTTATGGGGCAGTTCTCCTCTCTCCTCCTGGGTCACTAGGATTTGACACTAGAGGCTCTTCCTCTGAGCCGGTGGCTTTCTCTTCTCCAGCTGCTGTCTTCTCCTTGTAACCAGGGAATTTTTTTGTCAAATAAGAAAATGCAAAAATAAAATTGCGTTAAATAGCTAAGTACACTTCGTTTCAGTTCCCTTTTTTTTTGGTTTTGTGATTGCTGTGGTGATAGGATTTCTCCCAGAAGCTGGGGTGAGGGGCTGCAGAGGAAGTTTGCAGCGTCCCTGCTGTGGGGGCTGCCCCTCAGCCTGGCAGGCCCCGGGCAGGGTGCCACCTACAACCTTGGACAGCGGCCGCTGTGCGTTCAGAGTCCTTTGAACCGCTGCTCTGACCTTCCTTCCTACTCGTTTTTGTTTCTGAAAGGACTGTGTCCAGGAACTTTTCTGCTGTTTTCACTTTACGGTGCCTATAAAGGTCTTCTTAGAAGCTAGAGGAGCTGTGTTTCCCCTTCAGATACTCTGCTCTCTCAGTTGGCAGAATCTGCTCTCCCAACCTCTTGACCAGGGGGAGGGGAGGGGACAGTGAGGGGGTGTCGGTTGAGTTCCCATCTGGCCTGAATACAGCACTGGTTTCTTTAATTCTGGTCCTTCTGACTTGTGACCTGCCAGAATTATAGTCAGAGCTGATGCAAGGAATTGTCCCCAAGATTAAGGACAGTACACCAGTGAAATTGACCATCTTAGTTAGTGTCTTTTCAGTGAAATTCTATTTGTTAGGATTTTGCTCACAGTAATATTTGCTTGCTCTTGTTAGTAATGTGGAATGTTCAAGATGAAAGATCAATTTAAATAGCCACTATTATATCCCATGAACAAAGAAAAACAAACAAACCTTTTTTTTTCTTTCTTTCTTTTTGACAAAAGATGGTTCCAGTAAGATAGGAGTCACTACCCACCTGAACTTTGGTCTTTCCTCAGAAAGACATTCTTAAGTGTGTCTCCTGAATTTCTCCTAGCCATATTCTCTGGGAAATACAATGCAATTGAAGAATGTCAGGTTATCTTTTTAAATCAGTGGATTAAGTTTTTAAAAGTCAAAGAAAACCTAAACAGCTGAACCCTAAATTCCCTGCCTCCTGGCCCCAACACTTGTGTTATTTTAGGTGTGAAACAGCTCAAATGAAAGTTCACCCATAAATCTCTGTGGTATTTTATTGGTGCCGCTTTATAATGGAGATCAAAGATTGGGATTGGCAGCGTATCTGCATGCAGCATCCAAAGAGCTTTAAGATGTTCCTCTTTGACACCAGCAGGTTGTCCGAGTGGTAATGTTTTGGTAATGTCAAACCGGGTAGCAAGAAGTTGATCAAATTCTGAACTCATGGAAGTGTCGATATGAAAAAGAAAACTCTTTAAACAGAACTGTTGCCTGGCCAGTGAATGATCTATTTCTTTGACGTTGTTTCAGCGTGTGAGTGGGGAGCTAGCTGAGTGAACCTTAGTGTTAAAACTTCCAGATCCTCAGAGAACCGCTCTGGAGCTGCAGAAATGGGAGCAGATGGCTTGTGAGCTCTGAGGGCTTGAGGACTAAAGGAGACAGGAGAGCCTCCAGGGCTGACTGATGTGGGGTCCCAGTGAGCTCTAGTCACCCCCATGGCACTGCCTTGGCTTCCCATCCCTTCTCCCCTAAATGATTGATTCTTCCCCTCTGTGGCCCTTTCTGTTGGTCACAGGGCTGTCCTGGCTAACCCACTGCTGAACTTGGCCAGCCTGCCCTCTGTGGCTTTGGCCGATGTTTCTGCTCTCTGAGACTAATATAAGGTTTTATAGTCTTGTTGGTGCCCCCACCCAGCTGCCTTGGGCAGCAGTGTATTTACCTAAATGATCAATTTCTCCCAACTCTCCCAAGCCCGAGTCCAGAATGCTTAGAAAGTCACTGTCCTGCCCCCAACCCCCTTTGTTCCCTGGCCAGCTTTTAAACTTTGCCTGACCCAATTGTGATCTCAGAACTGAGCCTGCCTCAGAAGACATTGCACCAGGCAAGCCCCTTTTCCTTCCTACAGCCAAGAGTGCCATCCAGTCTGCCGCTGTGCACCACAGATGAAACGCTGCCACGTAGCAAGCCCTTATAGTGCGTACCAGCTACCTGTGGTGAAAGAGTACTCCAGGTGAGGGAGTGCCGTACAGGAGAGAGAAAGGCCATCTGCCTCGGGTGGTGGTAGGAGAGAAGCTTGTCGAAGGCCCAAGAAGGTTTCGCAAAGCAGTTGACATTTGAGCATTGTTTCCAGTTTTGAGTTGAAACTTTCTAGATCGGGAGGCATTCAGTGCAGGGTCCATGGTGTGTAGACATAGAGGGACTCTAGAAAAAGCACAGCATGAATGTGGAGTTGTACGGACTTGGGAATTTCTGGGGCGTAAACTGTAGAATCAGCACTGGACTGCGAACCACAGGTCAGCAGTTCAAACCCACCAGCTGCTCCTCAGAAACCCTGTATAGGCCGGCTCTGCATCAAAATCAACTTGACAACACTTAGCAGCAACAACAACAAAGTGCAGGACGAACTAAGAAACACGGTTATGAAAGTCGACCTGGAGTGGCAGGCTCAGGAGCTCCAGGGCAGGTGGGGAAGTGATCCGTTCTCCATAGGCTGAGATAGAGAATCATCTTGTACCTGTTGGATGAAGAATAAATAGGGAGGTCAGAGGCAGGAAAATTATTACCGGTACGAGGGCCCTTGCTCCCCATGGGATCTTGAGGCTTTGAGTAGGCATCCCAAACAGATCAAAATCTTTGCTCACAGGCTTTTAGGAGCACTTAGCTACATTGTGA